CGGCTAAAACACTTGAACTTATCGCCACAGAAAAATATTATTTTTCTGTGGCGATAAGTTCAAGTGTTTTAGCCGATATCATATAAATTAGTAATGAAAGTTTTTTCTAAACCTGAAATGCATATAATGGCGAGGGTTTAATGTAAATAATCGGTATCGGATACCGAAATCTTTTTTAAGTATTGGGTACCGAGTATTGGGGACGATTCAGCACATCACTAGTCGCACTCATTCTCGCCGCTCTCAGTTGTCAACTCAACGATGACGTCACGCTAAAATTACTCTCACGAATTCTGCTGCAATCGGCGCAACCTTGTATTCTATCATTCTTGACGTAGACACGATCTACCTTATGGGATTCGTGTGTTAAAGCAAACTCACCACCGCGTGACGTTCCCATTGTTTTTCTCTCTCTCTATCAACAATAAATTTGATATGCTGCTACGTACATACGTCAACCTACGTTTACGCTACATCGTCGACTAACTGCACTCTAAGTCTCTGCCCATGCCTGATCAAGAATGATAACAAGAAGGGACAACTCGTTATAATTGTAGCGAAAGTGAGCAACAGGGGCGTGCCTTCTCTTTTGCCCTAGTGCGATTTTTGATTAGATGAAAAGAGAAGGCACGCCCCTGTTGCGCACTTTCGCCACAATTATAACGAGTTGTCCCTTCTTGTTATCTACGTTCTTTGGTATTGTCAAGTTTTGAATTTGAAAAAGCACCAAATTTTTATTGGTATATTTTATGGACTTTATATACATACATAATTTTATTGTAACAATTGATTCCGATTCAAATTAATAAAAATCAATGTTTCTTGCACGACGGTCGATTTCTTCTGGCATGATTGAAGGTGCTGCCACATATTTTGTTGTCGCTTATGTCACTGTGCCATGATTTTGTTAAAATTTTTGTAAAGTTGCTTACCACACTTACGATTGCTATAAATTTTGCTTCCATTTTTTTAAGATTTTCTAATTTCTTGTCTTCAAACTAAAAACAAAAGCACCAAAAACGCACCAAGCACCAAACTCAAAAATTTTCACGTTTTGAATACCCACTAAATTTGGCGCGAAAAGCATCAAGTTGGCAACAGTGAATGTAAATAAAAGTATTTTATGACGTCAGCGATAGGGTGGATGCTGTCAAATCGACGAAGAGAGGGTTAGCGGTCCGCGAATGGCGCGACCTTTATTTTCTTAATCGTGATATGATATCAAGTAGTGACGACAATATGTACATACGTACGAACCGCGATTCAATAATTACAGGTTAGATAATTAATGACAGCCGCGGTTTGACGCTCCCTTCCAAAAGGTTGCATTTACGAAGGGCAGAAAAAGGGAAAGAATGAAAACCTTTAGCACAAAAAGGTAGTAGAAAAGTACGAAAAAGAGGGAATTAGTAGTGAAATCCCTTATGTAAATTCTAATGCATTTGCAGGAAATTTGGCATTTTATAAATATTGAACGATGGGGGCAGATTCTGTAACCAGTTAGCGACAATTTTCGAATCGGTATCAGTTTTGTTGACGTATGATATGAAATATTTGTACGTCAACAAGTGCGATATCGATCCGAAACTTGTCGCTAACTGGTTACAGAATCTCCCACCTGAAATGCTTCTTCATCCGTCAAAGCATTTTTCTTGAACCTTGGATCGACTAAGGCTAAAACTGATAAAATAATATTTCTCTGTTGGGATAGGTTCAAGTGTTTTAGCCGATATCATATAAATAAGTAATGAAGGTTTTTTCTTAACTTGAAATGCATATAATGGCGCAGGCTTAATGTAAAGAATCGGTGTCGGGCACCGAAAAGGAAGTATTGGGTACCGAAATCTTTTTTCAGTATTGGGTACCGCGGTATTGGGCTCTCGCTTGCTTTCAACTGTCATTTTTGTTTTTAATATTTTTATTGAGCTTTGTACCACGATTGTTTATTAGGAAAAATTGAAAAAGCAACAAAGTCTAAGCGGTAGAAGTTATAGCACTATTTCGGAGATCACCACATCTCCTCATCAGACTTCTTTTTTCTAGACTTCAGCAGGGATCGAACCTGCGAATTCGATGTTCAAAGTCAGAAGTGTTAACCACTGAGCTATGTACATCCCGTAAACTCTTGTTGCTAATTCATTTTCCTTATTCAACCATAGCCATAACCGGTATCAACGCATTGAATCAGCGCAATTGCGCCATGCAGTCTCTTTTCGCATGGTGCTTCATCATGCTTCTTTTGGCGCCATTCTGGCTTCTTTTCGCGCCATTCTCTCTTATTTTCCCACCATTCTGTCTTCTTTTCGCGCCATTCCCTCTTATTTTCCCGCCATTCTGTCTTCTTTTCGCGCCCTTCTGTCTTATTTTAACAGAACATCATCGGCTAACATCGCGCATCCCTAGTTTGTGCAGCAACGAGAATAGACGGATGGTTATTGAGCGCTCATAAGTGGGACGTTTTGGCTATATATACCAGGTTTTATGAAGTTTTTGAAAGGAAATATTAAGAAAAGATTTTCAACTTGCAGTCCGGTAAAGTAATGCACAAAATACATAATTTCTTTACATTGCCAAAGCAATGGATAAGTTGAAAAACATAACCACCGCATCGTGGTTGTGAAAATATCGGCATGCCGTGAAAAAATTTTAAGAAAAACACTCACAGCTGGGAAAAGAAGGTAGCTGAGCATAACATCACATTGAGTTTTTAAAAATGCAATGCAAATCGGATATTATTCAAGCGAGTGTGCTAAGCTCCCAGACGTTTGTGCGAGTAGTAGAAGATGGTGTTTTAGAAACGACGAATGTGCTAAAAATGTTGACTTCCTTGCTGCCCAACTCAGGTAAGTTAATGTTCTTGTATTGTTCTTCTTTTGCCAAAAGTGTATAACATTTCTTGTGCATATAACTCCGGCTCCGGTATCCACAGAATTTTTGCACTTAACTCCTTTCGAGTAGGCGGCCTTCGGCCGCGCTTTGGGATTATAATCCATACTAAGTAAAATTCTCCTTTCTGTGTTGCCGGAGAAGAAGGGCAGACACCTCTTCTGTTGTCAAGGGTATATAAAATGTCCAGTGCAAGCGAAAAAACGCAAGTGAAAATTGTGATTTTGGAAACCTGAAATATATATACAATTTTTCTTGAATTTCTTTTTTTGTATGATGCAATTAAAATATTTCATTATTGGCATGACAAAAACCAATAATTTATGTCCATATTCAGTAATTCGAAAGCTTTATTAGTATAATCCGGTTCAACCTTAGGGCCAGTTTAATTTTGGATTAAGTAAACTGAGTTTAAATTGAACAGCTGGCTGACATTTGATTGGCTGATCTTAGTTAAAACCAGCCAGATCGGCCGTTTAAAGTTAGTTTAAACCACGGCCGTGCACTGAAAAACTGGGCCTTAGTAGATCAGAAATCAGTTTGCTTTAGATTTTCGATCCCGCCACTTACACTAACTTATGCACTTGTATGTATATACTTATTTATTATTAAAATATTTAGTCCGATAGAGTACACCACGATCACCGAAGGAATTGTCAGCATACCATTACTTGGAAGCGAAATCTTTCAAAATCAATTTGGTTTGAAAACGCAACAACATCCCATTATACCGTTATTACAAAATCAACCGGTAAACATAAATGACGTGGCCCACAAAATTGTCGGTATTTTCAATCATCATGATCAGCAGTAGGTTACCTGTAATATTCCTTAATAATATTTTTCATTCAAATTCCTCATTTCTTACAGAAGAAAGGAGCACAGACGTTGCCCAATTCAAAGACTATTTGGACTGGCTTGCTATCATTAAGCAAAGCAAATCTCGCGGAGTAATTTTAACTCTTCCACAACATCCTTGTTCACAAGCATACTACTAATTGAAGCTATAGAACACTGCCTTACGTTTTATATTCAAAATTTCTTGGCGTTTCAATACAACAAAATAATAATAAAATAATAAAAAATGTCATCTAATAAGAAGAGTGACGTGTGGTTGCACTTCTCGGAGGAGAAGGATAAGAAGGTTAAGTGTAAGTTGTGTGGTCAGCAGTTGTCGGTGTCAAATAAATCGAATTGCGGCCTTATTCGTCACATGAACAGACGACACCAGTTCCAGAGAATCTCTAGACAGGCGCAACCTGTAGAAGAAGTACTTCTTGACATCGAAGGCAGTGAGCTCAACAACAACATCAGTGAAGTCAACAACAACATCAGTGAAGTCAACAACAACACCAGTGCAGTCAACAACCATAACCCCCATCAGCTCAACAATAGCACAGTAACACCGCAGGTCCCTGCTCAGATCCGACCACGGGCATTAAACGCATCGCAGCCACAAGTAACAAACTTTTTATATAAACCTCTTCCAATAAAGAAGCAGCGCGAAATCGATCAACAGGTATTAAAAATGATAGTCCGTGAATATCATCCTTTCAGTGTAGTAGAAGACATAGAATTTAAGAAGTTGGTGTTTCTCTTGAATTCCAATTACAAGCTTCCAAGCCGAAAAACCATTTCTTCCTCATTGATTCCTGCCACATACAACGAAACAGTAGAAATTGTTAAAAGCGGTTAGAGAGAGCTTATGCCATATGCTTAACTATGGACGGGTGGACTTCTCGTGCTCAAGACAGTTTTTTCAGCGTTACCGCTCATTATGTTGTAGAAGAAGAAAAAAGAACATTTCTTGCGTCGGACTTACTAGCTTGTAGTGCTTATGCGGAAAGGCACACTGGCGAAAACATTACAAAAAAAAATGATTGAAATTTTTAATGAGTGGGGAATTTATAACAAAATTACTGTTGTGGTAACTGACAATGCTGCGAATATGAAAGCAGCGGTGCGCGGGGGAGGCTGGCGCCATTGGGGTTGCTTTGCACATTCCTTAAATCTAGTTGCACAAGCAGGATTAAAGGAAATAGAACCTGTTTTATGTAAAGTTAAATCAATTGTTAGGTTTTTTCAAAGAGTAGTCATGCTCATTCAAAACTTAAAGCTACGTTAGAATCAATGCACCAACCAGTTTTAAAGCTCATCAACGATGTACCTACACGGTGGAATTCCACTTATGAGATGCTAAAACGAT